GCCCCCATGAGTCCGGAAATCTGGATTCCTCGAGAATTGGAAATTCTGTTCTGTGTGTCTGTCCCGCCCCTTTGATCAGGATTCTGCTGTAGAATCTTTGCTCAATGCATTCTGTCATGTATGTTAGGGTAACCCAGCACCACTAGCCTTCATGTATGTATGTTAGGGTAACCATGTACCACCAGCCTCCATGTATGTTAGGGTAACCACACGCCACCAGCCTTCATGTATGTTAGGTAACCACACGCCACCAGCCTTCATGTATGTTAGGGTAACCACACGCCACCAGCCTTCATGTATGTTAGGGTAACCCAGCAGCACCAGCCTCATGTATGTTAGGGTAACCACGCACCACCAGCCTTCATGTATGTTAGGGTAACCAACACCACCAGCCTTCATGTATGTTAGGGTAACCAACACCACCAGCCTTCATGTATGTTAGGGTAACCAACACCACCAGCCTTCATGTACGTTAGGGTAACCCAGCACCACAAGCCTCATGTGTGTTGACAGGGTTCGTGCCCATTCTCTGTTCCTTTTGGTTTCCCCTAATACTTAGAGAAGCCTGGAAATTCCAGTGTCTCATTTAAGAAGAGCCCAGAAAGTTCTGTCCTCAACAGAAGAGACGGGTTTTCCAGGGAGAGCAACACAGACACACACACACACACACACACACACTCCTACGCTCACTCACCCATCCACCCTGAGTCAGAGGACACCCAAGGCAGCTCACCCTCACCCTTCAGGGCAGCTGGTACAATGTGTACACTCACACCCAGCTTCAGGGCCAGCCCCCATGCTGCTGACCCTCAGCTGGGCCCTGCACTGGGCCTGGAAGGTGTAGTATCGCATCACTGGACCGGCTTAAAGTCACAGCAACAGGGGTTCCTAGGGGGACAGTGCAGGTGTCCAGACTCAGTGAAAAATGCCTGATCCGCTGGGCAATGGAGGCGGGTGTGTTTTCTTGGTACGCCTGAGCAGGAGCTACAGGCTACAAGGCCACGAGGTGCTGAGGACAATTGGGGGGTCACAGGCCAGGGTGGAGGGACTGAGC